CCTCACAAATGGAACAAAGACTCTGATGCCCTAAATTTCCTCCAGATCCCTGGTCTTCTTGTGAACTAGGCCAGTAGTTTGTTTAGTGGGAGCAGACCACCAACCAAGTCCAGTTGTCCCATACCCCCTTCCACTGTAGAGGCCATGCACTCTAAGGCTAGGGATGGTCACTTTGGGCATTTAAAGACATACTTTTTGTTCCCGTGATGCCCTGGAGATCCTCCACTTTGGAGCAGACTCACTTAATTGATTCTGCTCAGCATGTGAGCTGACCAGCACGGCACTGCATCGTGTGCAGTTGTATAAGCAGTGCAATGCATGCCAGCGCACAGAAAACGGTGGTGGTGCGCTTTTGAACTAAAGCACCTTCTATGTGTGTTTAGTTGAAAAGTGCGCTGCCACTGTTTTCTCAGTGCTGACACACATTTTGCCGCTTATACAACGGGAATCTTATACAATGGGAAGTGTCACAGCACCGGGGTGCTGCAGTGCTTGCATATGCCAAAATGCCCTTTAACTGGGTGTGGACTAAGCTGGGCTGGTCCTCAAATTGTGCCAGTGCTGAGAGATGAGCTCTACTTTATTGCACAAAAGTGATGCCTGGAGGCTGGTGCCTGGAGCTTGTTCTAATCTCAGTCTTAGGGTGGCATTAAAGTGTGGATCAAGCTTCCTGGGTTGTTTTCCTGGCTCTGGCAAAGCACTGGTGTCTGGTGGTTGGAGCAAAAGAGGATGTAGGGCAGAACTCCTAGGTTCCTTTCCCAGTGGCAGGAGGGGAGTAGAGTCTAGTGGTTATAGCAGTGGGGGAAGGAAGCCTTGAAGCTTGTATTTTGCTCCCGAATCCTTTGGTGTACTGACTGTCAAAGTCAGATGCATATGTGTGCTACATTCATCTCCGCTCTCCCAAAATTCCCTTCACTTGTATTTATGGAAATGAGGAGGATCACCACAGCCAAGTGGGAAGGGAACATGATGGGGGAGCCCTAGGTACATCTGACCAAGTCTCTACAGCAGGGGTGGGCAATTCTTTTGGGTGGAGGGCTGTTTACCAAGTTGTGGTGAGGTGTGGAGGGCCGCCTGGGTAGCCCCACTCCTTAGGAGTTGCCTCCTTGCTTCTCGGTCACTGGGTCCTGCTGGTGGCTCTTGCTGGGTCGTACTGCCCCTGGCACCTGCCATCTTTGACAGGCTGTTGTGGGTCTGTAAGGGGCTCTCCTGCACCTAGCTGGCTACCTCGCTGCATCCGGCCAAAAACCAGGGTCTGAGCGCTTCACCTGTGATGCCTCTCATCTGGCCAATGTGCACCCCCCTCCCCCACCTCCCTTCCTGGAGCTCACCCACAAGCCTGGGGTACCACTGCCACCGCCCAGACTGAGGTCTTTGTCTGGGTCCTGTGCCACCTGGGATATGCACACCCTGTAGACCTTGGGGTTGCTTAACCCCAGCAGGATATATCTGGGTGCTTCTTGTAGCCTGAAGTAAAGAAAGTTGCCTCCCTTAGTCAGCTGAGTAAAGGGAGCAGGAAGGCCTGCCCAACCCCTCTCAAGCATGCACAAGAAGGCTGGTTATAACGGAGAGCTTTATGGGATATAGAGGGAAGGCATGGGGAGGAGTACAAGCTGGAGAAGTAGCAAAAGAATAACCCTGAGAAAACAAGAGTGGCTTGGTAGTCTTCTGATATGAGTAGAGTACATTAAACTAAGTTCGTAGTTAGGTAACTGGTAAGTTACTCGCTTCCATATCCGGAACATTTGTTTAAGTATTTCTTGAACAAAGTGTTTGATTCTCACACTGAAGGGGAAAAACTGAGCACTGGGGAATTTGTCACCCTCACTTCCAACCCTCCTGAACACGCATAACGTGGGACATACGTATGCAGGGCAAGTTTCTTACTCCAGATGCTGAAGTGGCTGCAGTTTGAAATAGTAAGGAGAGAAACTTTTTATTTTTTTCGTTTCTGAGTTAAGAAATATTCAGAAAACAATAAGAAATTAAATGGGGCTGGATTTTATATCAGTAAATTGGAATTGTTTTTTCTGAGCGTATGTGTGTTGTAATTGGAACACGTCGGAGCAGACTCAATTAATCGAGTCTGTCAGTGTTCTAATTGCAATGCTGTGATGTCGCCGTACCTTCACGTGGATTAAGCTCCCCCACATTTCATTGAAGTGCCTCCACAGATATTTTGAAATTTCATCAAATGAGTCTTAAATGAAGGGCCTCGTGGCCATTTTGAAATGTTGAGGCATAATATACATGACATTGAGCTGTTTTTAATTAGAGAAGCTGTCCAAGGACTGCTCTAACACCCTGCCCCCTCCCCCCCGGCCCTCAAGCATGTGTATAGGCAGCCGATGTGTTAATAACCTAGACAGATTAGTTAAATCCTAGACCGATTAATTAAATCGGTGGACCAGAGCCAGATGCTGTTAACACCAAGGAGTGTGAAGTGCTCCATCTGGGGAGGAAAAATTCTCACCAAGCTCATAGGCTTGGTGGTGCTACGTTAGCTAACGCCACATGTGAAAGGGACCTGGGGGTTATAAATGACCATAAAATGAATATGAGCCACCAGTGGGATGCTACAGTTAGCAGAGCAAACAATATGCTGGCATGCATCAACCGATACATCTCGAGCAAAACTAAGGAAATTAATCTCCTACTCTATTCAGCATTGGTGACATCACAGCTGGAGTACTGCATCCAGTTCTAGGTGCCACACTTCAAGAAGGATGTGGAGGAGGTTGAGAGTCCAGAGAAGAGCCACTCATATGATGAGAGGTCTGAAGAGCAAGCCATATGAGGAAAGGTTGACAGACATGGGACTGAAAAGAGAAGACTTTATTTAGGGTACTGAAAAGAGCATCAGGGGCTAGACAAACACTGAAGTGCCCTGGGGAAAACCAGGAGTAATAGTCATAAACTACTAGAAGAAGGTTTCAAACTGGATATCAGGAAAAACTTTTTAATGGTTAGTGTGACCAGATGCTGGAATAGACTCCCAGCAGGGGTGGTGCAGGCACCTACCCTGGACATCTTCAAAAGGAGACTGGACATTCACCTTGCTAGGGTTTGTGGACCCCAGCAGCCTTTCCTGCCCAGAGCAGGGGGGCTGGACCCAGTGATCTCTCGAGGTCCCTTCCAGCCTTAAACTTCTGTGAATCTGTGAAAGAATGAACAAATCCTTCAACAGTGACATGAATGCTAATGTACCGACCAGCAGGGAAACAAAATGCAAGTTTCCTTTAATTTCTTTTCCCCGCCACAAAAACTCCTGACCACGTTTTCTGTCATATAATGATGTCCCTAATGATGTCTCCTTTTGAGGCACCCACCCTGTTTACCTCCTGGCTACAACACCATTACAACCCCCGTAGTTTAATATTGGGTCCAAGACCATTGTCACAGGGTAAATTTTTCAGTGCCACATGTGACCATGGAAATAGGAAGAAGCATAGTATAGGGTAGGTAGTGCAGAAACAGGCTCTCTGACCATTTATGATCTCAGTAGAATAAATGTTGCTTTTTCTAGGAATGTATAAAGTAAAAGCTCAAGGACCTCCAGTCTATGGCAGAGGACAGAGCTAGCAACAAGGGTGTTACCATAGTTACTGGCACAGCACACGTACCTTTTACCCCAAATCAGTCTTCATTTAAACAGAAACATGGAAGAAGAGAAGCACTGAGACCCTACTGCAAGATGGCTGCCATGCTTCACCCTCTGCCAGTCTTGGAGAGAGGGTGGATAGCTTGGGGACTTGGGCTCGTCTGGGGACAGCAACAGCAGTTGTGGTGGGTGCAGTGGGTGGATTCCCCATCTGTATGTAACCCTTCTCCCGGGATGAGAGGGAACACTTGAGGAGTGGGTTGGGAGGGGAAAACCTGCTGCTGCTGTTTTGGGCTGAGCCCATCTCCATGCTGGAGCGCAGCAGGAACAGCTGTGGAGTTCAGCCCACCTGCAGGGCAGCCAGAGGTAGAGGGGGCAGTGGCAGCGGTGGGTGTGTAATGGAGGAAGGGGAGGGGGAGTGCCTCTGTGCATGTAGGGGAAGGGACAAAGTGTTCTTGCATGATGCGGAGACTTAAAGACCCCAGCTGCTGGTCCCACAGTGTGGTCGGGAAGGGGAATAGGACTGTGCCAGTACACCTCCTTTGCGTATCCCTCTCGCCTATCTCCCCTTTAGCCAGCTTAGGACCCTGTCCCAAATCCATAGTTACTGGCACAGCACACGTACCTTTTACCCCAAATCAGTCTTCATTTAAACAGAAACATGGAAGAAGAGAAGCACTGAGACCCTACTGCAAGATGGCTGCCATGCATCTCCCTCTGCCAGTCTTGGAGAGAGGGTGGATAGCTTGGGGACTTGGGCTCGTCTGGGGACAGCAACAGCAGTTGTGGTGGGTGCAGTGGGTGGATTCCCCATCTGTATGTAACCCTTCTCCCGGGATGAGAGGGAACACTTGAGGAGTGGGTTGGGAGGGGAAAACCTGCTGCTGCTGTTTTGGGCTGAGCCCATCCCCCTGCTGGAGCACAGCAGGAACAGCTGTGGAGTTCAGCCCACCTGCAGGGCAGCCAGAGGTAGAGGGGGCAGTGGCAGCGGTGGGTGTGTAATGGAGGAAGGGGAGGGGGAGTGCCTCTGTGCATGTAGGGGAAGGGACAAAGTGTTCTTGCATGATGCGGAGACTTAAAGACCCCAGCTGCTGGTCCCACAGTGTAGTCGGGAAGGGGAATAGGACTGTGCCAGTACACCTCCTTTGCGTATCCCTCTCGCCTATCTCCCCTTTAGCCAGCTTAGGACCCTGTCCCAAATGTGCATGTGGGAGAGAGCCCACATGTATATGCCCAAAGCCTGCCAGCTCCACGTCATTTTGTGGGCTTATGTCCTCTGCATCCAGCACTGCTTTCTTAAGGCTTTCCTAAGGGCCCTGTGCACATCCTTGTTCCTCAGGGTATAGATCAGGGGGTTCACCATTGGAGTGATGATGCCATAGAAGAGGGAAACTATCTTGCCCTGGTGCTGTGGGTGCTGAGAGGGGGGCTGCAGGTAGACGTAGATGGCTGTGCCAAAGAAGATTGACACTACAACTAAGTGGGAGGTGCAAGTGTTGAAGGCCTTGCGTCTGCCCTCAGCTGAGCGGATCCTCAGTACTGCAGCACCAATGTAGCTGTAGGAGACCAGGATGAGTCCCAGAGGTACTGGCAAGATTACCATAGAGCTGACAAGGAGTCCAGCCTCATTAACGGAGGTATCAGCACAGGCCAGGCTGAGCAGGGCTGGCACTTCACAGAAGAAGTCATTGATACGATTGTGCCCACACAAGGGTAGTCGCAGGGTCAAGCATGTTTGCACAAAGGAGACGGTCATTCCACTAAACCAGGATGCAATTGCCATCAGCCAGCAGAGGCTGCGGCTCATGATGGCCATGTAGTGCAAGGGGTGGCAGACGGCAGCATAGCGGTCATAGGCCATGGCTGCCAGCAGGACACACTCAGTGGAACCCAGGCCAAGGGAGATGATGAGTTGGGCCACGCAGCCAGTCCACAAGATGATCTTATGGGTAGTGCATAAATTCACCAGCATCTGTGGCACAATGGTGGTGGTAGAGCAAAGGTCCAGGAGAGAGAGATTGCTGAGGAAGAAGTACATGGGGGTGTGGAGACACAGGTCCAGCTGCGAGACCACAATGATGGCCAGGTTCCAGAACAATGTCAGGACATAGGAGATTAGGAAGACCACAAAAAACAGCTTCTGCAGGTATGGGTTGTTAGAAAGGCCTAGTAGGATGAACTCCCCTTGGGAGCTCCCATTGCCTCTTTCATCCTCTGAAATTAAGGACAAAGGTATAGTGAAATGCAGTGGAGGTGGGGAAGCTTTGTTACTGAAGCTGGTGTAGGGGGCTGGAGATATGAGCCTTACTGTGACCAAGCAATTGCGTCCTTCTTTCTTCTGGTCCTGAGCCAGAAACTCTCTCCTCTGACATTAAGCACCCAGACCTGGTCATCTGCTGAGTTGGGCTGTGCGTAGCTTCAGGTGGTATTCAATTTGGAGATTCAGCTTGATTCGGAAATTCAGCTACGGAATCGAATTGGGACCAATTTAAAAGTACGAATCAATTCAAAGCTCTCTGAATCTTCGGAAATGATTCAGAGAGATTTGATTTGGGCAGTCTCCAGGTCCCCGGTGGCTGCAGCGGGGATCTGCCGCTGACTCTGAGTTGGTAAGTGCTAGGTGTGGGGAAGGGGACCATGGGGGGACTCCTGCCAGCCCCCTCTGCCCGCCTCAGCTCAGCACTTTAAAGAAAAGCCCCAGTGCTCACCGGGTGCTGCCAGGGTGGGGGGGCGATCCCCACTGCCCCCCAGTACCCTGCCTGGGCCAGCTCCGGCCCTTTAAGAAAAAAAAAAAAGAGAGAAAAGGCCCAAAAGTCACTGCTCCTGCAGTGAGAAGCAGGAGAGCGTGGCACAGGGCAGTAGGGGCAGCGGGGATCACTCCCCACCAGCAGGAGCAGTGAGTCTGGGGATTTTTTCATTTTTTTTAAGGGCTGGAGCTGGCCTGGGCAGGGCACCCATGGTGGGGCTGGGGGAGTAAGGGGGTGGTCTGGGGCAGTGGGGAATCACCCCCCGCCCCTCCAGCAGCACCCTGTGAGTTGGGGCTCTCTTTTTTTTTTTTCTTTTGTAACGAGTGCTGGGACCTGGGGCAGCCATTGTGGAGCTGGGAGAGCAGGCAGGGGATGGGCCTGGCCTG